GCAGAATATTACCTTAACCACGTTTAAGTTTTTTTGTCAGTGTAAATAAATAAATTAGTTTGAATTTATTGAATGGTCTGAAGTTCGCGCGCTACGCAACGTTGCCAAATTTTTTGACTCCATTTTAACGTAGGTTGCTTGAGAATTTTTTGTGATTTTTAATTATTAATTTCTCAATAAATATCTCGGTAACTTATATATTTTATTGCAAAAAAAGAAACCTGAATATTTTGAAAATCTAATTTTTAGTTTTTTTTTACTTCATCTAATCTATGACTGATAGTATAATTCGAGAAATACTGCAAACGTCTGACTTTCTCGTAAGACTTTGAACAAATACTAACATTTAAAAATTTTATTTTTTCAAAAATTTGTCCGGTAAAGTATAATTTAAACCTCACTATTAGATAAATAAGGGCCTTAACTATTAGAAAAAAATTGAATTTACTCATAATCTAATATTTTTTATTTTACATTGGCGGCGAAAGGACCTCCTTAACTGTTAGTTGATCGCTAGTTGTTTAATAAATGTAAACAACTTCAGTCTTCATTCTACTAAATTTTGACATCTAGCTTGATAAATTATTAGTTAATTAAATTATCAAAAATCAAAAATTCCAAAAACGATGCCACGAATATACAATCACGATAAATCAGAAGATAAAAGAAGACATAACCATGTAACAGTTGCTAAATTAATTTATAGTTATTTACGCAAAGTGTCAATAATGAACGCGCAGCGAAGACGTAAAAAAAATGCTCTACATAATTTTCGCAGAACTCACATAATGAGAAAACGACCCCATCCTGGTCGTTAATCTAAAATCTGTTATTTAAAATTTAACGTAAATTTCCATTTCATCGCAGAAAAACGTCCATTCGTGAGCTTTTTATGATCCAACAGTCCTTGGTATTTATTGCATTGATTAAAAATTAACGTATATTTCCTGGAAGCATGTAAAAAATATATAAGCATATATGCATGTATGTATCTACGTATTGCACCGGTGAATATATGAGTAAACATGTACGTACATTTATATACAAATGTTGAAATAGTAATATACTCTTGTCATGATGATCAGTGATGGTTGATGGGGCCAAAGCTGATGAGCAGACCTTTAGAGTACGTGAACAGCAACTGATGGTTCACAAAGTTACGACAATCTCTGTACAATCACATCACGTAATACAATATGTATACATGCATGTACTCGAGCTTTTTTACCCATTGGAAGTCACTTGGTGTCATCCCAGGCTCGCAGTTCGTTTACCACTTTAAAGCGCTCCAGTTCTTATTTTGCCTTTAAAGTCTGAAAGTTTAAAATTTTTCTATTAATTTCATTTGATAATAAATATTTATAATTAGAATTATTGTTATTATTATTACGGTGGTTATAATGATGAATTGTTTAAGTGAACGAAAAAAATATCAAAGAAGTGAAAAAAAAGCAATATCTGATGACAAAAAAGACGATAAATATTATGAGCGTCGTAAGAGGAATAATGAAGCTGCTAAAAAATCACGCGATGCTAGGAAACTTCGTGAAGACTATGTAAGTTTATTTATTCAAATAATTAAAGCGATAATTGTTATACCTTGATAAATTTTAGTTCTTTAATTATTGAAATTAAATAAACAATTTATTGATTATCGTAGACGGCAATGAGGGCGAAATTGTTGGAGAACGAGAACGGGATCCTCTGGAAAAAAATAATTTTACTGTGTCAAGAAATAGAAACCCTCCATGAAGTGATAAGAAAAATTCAACGATACGTACCGACAGATAAAGCTGATGATGATTGCTCAATGAATCTCAATCAATGGGAAGCGATCTTCAATGGTAGAAAATCTCTGTACTGCAAAACTATACCCGAGTATCCGTCATCATCATCATCATCATCAACATCATCAATTGTCAATAATAACAGTGGTAGCGTGACCGCTCTGACAGTTATCTCACGGCTTTCATCAATTTTGCATTCACCTCCGCAGTCTGCCATCTAATACTCCTGTTATTTACCTCTACGTGTTGCTTTATTTACTCTGAGCAATCATAATATTTACCCGTATATACCTGTAAATTAATTATTTCTTTCAACAGTTTAATAATTCATAGCTAAGCACGGCAAATATCATTATTATAATTGTATTATATTAAATTGTATTGTTTTAGTAACAATAACTGTTATTATATTAAATGTATTATCACTTGAGTGCAATGGAAAGCAAGTAATATTAATACAGAGCATCTGAAAATGATCTATCATTGTTTTATCTTTATTAATTTAATTTAAATCGAATTTTTTATTATTTCCTATCTTGTCAACTATATCTGATAAGTTTTTATTTGTATCATTAATTTATTCTATTTTAATATAACAATTAAATATACAAATAATAAAATAATTTTCTAAGCTTTTGTAAATAATTTGTTCCACCAAATATAAGTATTTTTTATTTTTACTTAAAATTTTCTGGCATGTTCATACCTTAGTTTTTTCCAATATACTAAAAAGAACTTCTCCAATTGGATCATCTTCGAAATTTATTTTAGTTCATTCATTTTTAAAATTTTTGTTAGTTGAACTTCCATAAACTTTCTAATGAAACTTAAAAAATTTATAAATACATTAATGATACTGGAATCAGCAGATATCTGACAATGTTCAGAATTATTATAAAAAATTAATAATAGTAAAAAAAATATTTTAAAAAATTTTCACTTATAATTTTTCTTTAATTTTTAGACGTGAAATTTTTTTGATCAAAATTTTTTCAAAATAATTCAATTATTATAAAAATCAAAAAATTGACAGATGTCTGTTAATTTCAGTATCATCTACATTAATAATTTATCACAAAATTTTTATGACCTTAAAGTTAGCAGTTACTTGATGATTTTTTATTTTTTTTTTTTTTTACTAAACAAATTTGTTTCGAAAAAATTTTTATAAAAAATTGCATTTTTTATTTTTTTAAATTTCTGTCAAATGTCAATTTTTTTTTCATAATTTATTCGTTAAAAGAATTTTTAAAATTATCAAATATCTGCTAAATTAATTTTCATAAAATTTTTCTACCTTACACACTTTTCAATTTAATAATAAAAAAACAACAATCAGCACGTTGGTATTCATAACATCTGATTATTAACCCCAAATCTTGTATTGACAATTCTTACTTCAAATTCATTAAAGAAAGTTATTATTTGAAGCAAGCTTTAAAATCGCCTTGCACAGACATATCGAGTATTCCAATAATGACAGCTTTAATAATTCCCAAAAGTAAATTGTAAAGGTAATCAAACTGGATGGTGGGGGAAAAATTTGTTTGGGAAACCTTCCCAATTGTTATTCATACTTGTTAGTGTAGGTTAGTGTCATATATCTATCCTCAACGTTGAATCTGTGAAATAAATTTTGGCGGTTAAGAAAATCATAGTGAAGTGGTTATTAATTTAATAACTGAAAAATTTATAAAAATATAAAAGTTTAAAGAATTTTAAATAATTCAAGTGAAAAAAACTAAACTATTTTCGAACGGTTTTTGTTAAATTTCAATTTTAAAAAGTGATAAGAAGCTAGAGGTTATAATACACGTGACTAAATGGACAATAAAAAAAAATATATATTTTTAAGGGAAGCAGCAACTAAAACTTGTGACGAATAATAGTTATTATTTAAATTTTAATAATTTAACAAAATTTTTCAACTTTAAATATAATTGTGACTTACATGCTTTTTTTCCTGTATATAGGAAAAACGTCGCAACAAACACGTATGGAATACACTCACATTCCATGTTTGTTGTAGGTGGACCTTCTTATGAACTCCGCCGTCCATCTTACAGTGTACTGTATTGTTGCCGCTAGACTCTTCTTAATCATCGAGTGGATAAATTTTTATCAATAAGTGGCAAATTCATTTGAAACTAAAAATCAAGAAAGTTTAATTGAATAAAATGGATTACAACAATATTAATATTAATCATAATAATAACACTTGTGATAATAATCATCAGAATGATGATGACAATGACAATAATGATTCATATTATATAAATATAGAAAAAATAGAAGAAGAAGAAGAAGAAGAAGAAGAAGAAGAAAAAGAATATATGTATCAAGAAGACGAAGAAGCGATAGAAGAGTTAATAGAAATAGATATGCCTCTATGTCTTCCTCATGTTTATGAAGATTACTTCGAGGTACGTAAACAAGTAAAAAACGGAACACAATCAGTTCACACTATTCTTCATGTGTCAGTAGAACAATACCAAGAGTACTTCTATGAGAAGATATCTTGTGATATAGAGCTAACTCTTCTCGTAATGGCTATGCGCCTGCACGATAATGATTTTGTCAAATTTCTTCTAAATAGTAACGTGAATGTAACCGTAGCCCCAAGGGGATGTGAACTGCCTCTATTGACTGCCATTTTGATTAGAAACATAGTATTTGTTGACGAAATAATTACTGCGGGTGGTGAAATAAATGAGCGATCTCAAATACGAATCCATGATCACATTTACTATTGCTCACCAATTGAGCTTGCAGTGATAAAAAATGAACCTGAAATTCTTAATTTGTTAATAAGCAGAGGGGGTTATGTTAACATTCCTAATCCAGTTGATAATGTATCTGCTTTGTATCTGGCTGCGCAACACAGTTCCTACGAAGCTATGAAGATTCTTCTATCCTGGGACGCCAATGTAGATCATGTTACTGATGTCCAAATAGGAAGTATTACTGTCACGGAAACACCTTTGTCAGCTGTAATAAAACAAGGATTGAATCTAAAAGCTGTTAAGTGGATGCTGAAGAATCTCAGGATGGATATTAATTTTATAGACTCAATGGGCTTCTCTTACCTTCATCACGCTGTCTTCTTGAGTCGAAATCCACGAATGGTGGCTTATCTTCTGGATGCAGGGATTGAAATTAGTGTGCCAGACGGTGATGGCACTTTTGCTGTTGAGTATCAGGATGAAAATGATCCGGCTTGTCAAGTGTGTGTTAATCTTGTAAGAGGACACATTGTGAAGATGATACTTGCTGATTTTGACATGTGTCGAAGAAATATGAAGGGTATTCATGGGATGAATTTCGGCCGATTTCCTATGGACTGTTTCACTGAAGTATCCAAGATGAAGGAATATCATCTCTATACCACTGATTTGACTTGCTACACCTTGCTTCATCTATCTCTTCGTCAAGCTGCTAAAAAATTGGAGCAAGTTGATGTTACCCGTTGTTTCTATCAGGAAATCTTCACCGAATTTCCTATTTACGCTGGGATGATCATGCATCGCTTAGACAGAGCGCGAAGATACTCACTTGGTTATTATTCTTGAACTTGATTGTTTAGTAAATTTTTAAGATTTATCGGTTGAATATTTTATTAGATTTTTGTAATTTTCATTATGTAGATATTGTATTTTTCTATTTTTTCTATCTCAAGTTGTAAATAAACTTCTAAAGTAATATAAAATTTATATTTAATTTAGCTGCTCTATTTTAAAACAAACAATCGTAGTTGCAACAATTTCAGTCTTTTTTTTTAGATTGTTGCATTTTTTTAGTACTTAAACAATCTGATATTTTTTCCTTATCTCTCATCTCTAAGTTAAAATTGTTATCAATTTAAAGTGTGAACTTATTGAGTATTTTTTTTTAATTATTAAACTTAATCATCTCGCACAATTTTTATAATAACTTAAATTAATTGATTTCTGACAATTTTTGGTTTTTTATAACAACTAAATTTTCGTAAAAAAAATTTTACATCAGAAATTTAAAAAAAATTATGAGTGCGAATTAATAATATATATAATTTACTAACAATTGATTTGCTATAAAAATAACAAAAATTGTCCGATGTCTGCTGGTTTTAGTATTACGCATTGTTTTTATAGTTATGGGTATTTCTTACCGACACGGCGTTAGTTTTACGTAGAAATTAATAAAAAAAAATTTACGCAAAAAGAAATCAGGATACCAAAAAGTATGACAAAGACCAAAATAATTTTTAATATGCTAATTGCCTTCATTTAAAATATAAATCAATAAATAATTTTAATCATTAATCCACAGATTCTTAGTCATGAGAGCGTCTTCTAGCTCAGCTCGAGGTTTTTAGAAGATATATTAGCCGCTCCATTAAATTATATGATAAATTTCTTGGTAAAATGAATTTAAGATAGTATTTTTAGTAGATTTCATAGAAATCTAACTATTGCATTGGTCTTCATGACGGAGTTTTTGAAAAATTTTGCTATATTTCGACTCAACTCGAGTTGACGATCGTCAAGCGGATTCAGAAATTGCATATGGTTCAAAAGTTTATATATATATATATATATTGAAGCCTAACCGCTTGAATTTTAATTTGTCGGTATCTCAGAAAAAAAATTTTTCATTACTAACAGTCGACAAGCAAAACTTCAAAGTTACCAGTCATGGGTAAATTAGGAATGGTCCTCGAGTTTCTATATATATATTATTGTTATACTTTTCCGGAATACATACACTCCGTCAGATAAATAAAACAAGAACGTACACGAATATATAAAAAAAAGCCGCAGGAAGTTGTTTTCATTATAATCAATTCTTAGACATTCCTATTTCTATCAATAAAATTGTAAGTTATTGATAATTGTCAGTAGTTGTTAATCGAGTAATTCCATAAAAAAACTTAACCCATTTTTTACTTAGTGTTTTTAATAAATTTGATAAAATTTTTATTACATAACCTAACACGTGAAGATTAAGTGGATTATTGCATAAAATGTCAAGATTATTAATAAATTTGTGTCCTAAAATAAAAACCCTGGTAAGTTTTATTGACAGTTATCATTTATTAATTTATTAATGGTTCATTGATATTAATTCTGATTTTATTTTTTTGAACCAGGTTTCATCGGCTGCCGGGTCATTGATTGACGTTAAATCTGTTAATTTTATAAACAGCACCCGCAATTTTTCAATAACATCAAGATTATTGTCAGCCTGGCCGCAAATCCAAAAGCGAGCTCCAGAATTTACCGGTACTGCTGTTGTTGATGGTGATTTCAAGGAAATAAAATTATCTGACTACAGTGGAAAATACCTAGTCTTGTTTTTTTATCCACTTGATTTGTTAGTATTGGATTATTTATTGATAAAACTATAATCATTAATTTCTATAAAGACATGAAATTATCAAATTGTGACATTTATTTTGAATCACAGCTTAAATGCTCCAACGAAGTAAAACAACGATTTTATTTAAATATTTTAATTATTATTACAACAATAAAAAATTCTATTGTTTAACGTTAAAAACAAATTATTTTACCGTAAACATTCATTAAAAGTGTCAGAATCTGATTATTAAATGACATAAAAATTGAAGTTAATCATAATAACCATGTAAACAAATTTAAATCAACCATTAATTAGATTAATAATTAAAATAAAAAAGTACGATTTGAGTGAAACTAGAAGTAAAGGATCAGTAATAATTATAGGGTTAGATTAAGTAATTTAATAGTAACTATTACTGAATGAATTGATAATTAATATCATTATGTTTTATTGGTAACAATAATAATTAATAAAATTAATGCACTTTGCTATCATTGCCGATAAGAAGTTTAGGAAAAATATAAATCATAACTTTTTTAATTGTTGGCATTCGGAGATGTTCGCTATAGACTTAACTCAAATATTAAATAATTAACAGTTTCACCTGAAATAGATTGAAGAAAATTAAATTAAATATGAATTTAAAAATTTTTTACTACAAACTTAAGCAAAATATTAATTAAATATTAAGTATTATTACTCGAACTATACAATTAAAATAATGAAACTTTTTTTTTTCAGCACATTTGTATGCCCAACCGAGTTGATAGCATTCAATGAAAAGCTATCGGAATTCAAGTCGCTAAACACCGAAGTAGTTGGCGTATCAACAGACTCTCACTTCAGTCATTTGGCGTGGATAAACACTCCCCGTAAACAAGGCGGTCTGGGCGGGTTGGGTTACCCGCTGTTGAGTGACTTCAACAAACAAATATCCTCAAGGTACGGAGTCCTCTTAGACGAGCCGGGTGTTGCACTACGTGGTCTATTCATAATTGACAAAGAGGGTTTCTTGCGGCAGATGAGTGTCAACGATTTGCCCGTGGGCCGCAGTGTTGACGAGACACTGCGTCTCATAAAGGCTTTCCAATTCGTGGAGAAACACGGGGAAGTTTGTCCCGCTAATTGGCAACCCGACTCCAAAACGATCAAGCCCAATCCCAAAGACAGCAAGGAGTACTTCGAGACCGTAAATTAATAAAATAAGTTTTGCTATTAACAATAATTAATAATTAAAAATTAAAAATTAAAAATTAAACGTACTTGATATATTATATTAGAAAATATAAGTGGTCACAGTAATTGTTTCCGTTTTTTGTTATCCTATTAATTTTTTAGGGTTGATATGAATGAGCAAGAACATGAACGAGTAACTGCGCGTGCTGGAGTGTGTTTAAAACAGCAATTTGCAGTCGTCGATTGATACATTATAGTTTGGAGTACACGCACGTGCGAATGGTGTAATTTTTCTGCCAGAAAAATTATTATTGTTATTGTTATTTTTATAGAGAGTATAAAGTATGAAGATGATGAATGCAGCAACCAAGACCAATCAGTGATGAAGGGCACGAGGGCACACGAAGTTTGAATAAGAGACTATCGTCTGTACGGTCTGTAGTGGGAGGAAATATATATATATATATATATATAAGTATATATAAGGGTCGCAAGGGTGAAGAGAGATCGGAGATGGGGAAAAGAAAGAGGCACACCAAGCAATCTCATGCTGGTTGATTTGATTCTTTGTGGCGATGGGAGCAATAGCAGATCGAGTAGTCACTCTGAAAGACCACGTTTCCTTGGGTTCCTTCCTCAGCGGATTATCCTTCTCTCGTCTTTATCTCTCGCTTCTGTGAATTTGTGTCCAATCCTACGGATTTATTATTATTGTACAAGGGAGTCATTCAAAGTACACAGATTATTTTTTCGATTTCTTTTTTATTGATGACTGGAATTTATTTTCTGTCTGAAAGGAATTTGTAATTGATTTTATTATGTGCGTTTATTAGCTAATTTTTGCGAGATAAATGCAGAGATTTCAGGATTGAATCATGTTATCAGATTTGGGTGTGAAGAAAGGGTGAAGCTGAGTAGAAAATTCAAAATTTTATTGATGAAAGTAATAAAGTAATTAAAATCTAATTTTATAATGTTATTATTATTACATAAGAAATATTTTGTAAGCAAGTTATCATAAGAGTTGATGAAAAAGTAGTAAATTATAGTTTTAAAGAGTTCCGAGCGGTGGCGGCACTAGTTTGCTTGTCGGGATCAAGCTATACAAGTTGGAGCGAGTTATTAATTAATTATCGTCAGAAAGTTAAGATTCTTACGTTTTGTCACACTCAATTTTACCTGAAAGTCAATTTATTAATTATTAATGCAATTATCTTGAAGAAATCAGCTGTGCTCATTTAAACATTGTTTATTTGTAATTGTTGATTTGTAGAAAAATAAGATCTTTATACGTAATTGGGTTGATGAAAAAATTAATGTAATTAAAGAGACATAATCTTGATCCAAAAAAAATTTTAGAATAAAGTTGAATTTATGGTACTGAAATCAATCAACAGATACTTAAAAATTCCATCATTTTATGGAATATATTGATGATAAGAAACTATTTTTAACAATTTTATCAATGATTTTTCAGAATTTTTACACGCAAAATTAAAAAAAAAAATTTTTTTTACAATAATTTATTTGCCAAAACAATTCTACTAATTATTAAATGTCTTAATTTCATTATCACCAAAATTTAATTAAACTTAAAGTAATTTTTTGGTACAAGATCATGAAGTCGTACTTCAAAATGTTTTTTTTTTTAATTTTTTATTTAGTTCAAGATTTTATCTGTTGAATTAGGTTAATTTTTTTATCAGCATATGTAAAAATTGTGATACTGAAATAAGCAGATGCTTGACAATTTTTTGGTTCTATTTGACAAATCAATTACTTAGAAAAATTACTTAACTTAATTTTCATTAATATTTTTTTATAATTTCTAGATACGAATATTTTTTTAGAGTATTTTTTTATGAAAAAAATCTTAAAAATTATCAAATGTCTGTTAATTTCAGTACCACCTAAAATAGGTATTTATTAAGTTAAAAGTGCGGGTTTTTTCTGAAAAAAATTATTCAAAAAGTATGTAGTATGACAAATACTTTATTTTTAAATATTTCTATTCAGATAAAGAATCTTAAATGACTATATTTAACAAGAAAGCTTAATCATTGAATTTTTTTCAGGTATGATTCGACGAAATGTAAGAAACTCTAATAATTTTCCGTCCATTGATTACTGATTGATGTTCGAAATATCAAACTGCTCAAGATAATTATATCATAGTGAGCATGTATGATCATCAGGAAAGTGATTATTTCCTATCCGCAAGGACTTAGTGACTTAAATAATTAAATTTTTAAACAAAAGAAAAATTTAGTGTTTCACTACAGATATATGAATACAGTTATGGAGTTTATTTAAGTTATTATAAAAAGTTACTCAGCATTGACATTGTTTATATCAGGTATGATTTTATTTTATTTATTGTAATTTGAGCGTTAATGATTGAGTTTTGGTCTTGAGATATAAGATAGTCTCGTTTACAGTAAATTTTTAGTATTATTAAGAATTTAGAGTTTTGTTGACAGATTTAGTTGAGATTGTTATTCGAGTCATTGAGATTTATTTATTTATTTGTTTTATTTTATAAGAATAAGGTTCTGTAACTTGACTATAGCGTTGATTATTGTTAGCTGTATCGTTCTAGTAATTTTATATTGATTTGAGATCACTACTTACGGTTTATTGAATAAATACGGATTTTGTTCTAATGATAAATTTTTAGTGTTGCGTATGGAATTATTACAATTATGGATCCTCTCGACCCGAACCACCCCCTCTCTCCATAAACCAGCACACTGAGCGACCCCGAGGTATTCCGTCGTCTTTCTGGTTTTTGGTCCTTTGGTCTTTATTATGTTAAGTTTCTGTATTTTCGATTTAGTTTACGTTTCGGATGGTTTTGATAGTTTCTAGTGTATAAAAATTATCTATTTCCGTTTAAGTTTAAGTTCGAGTTCTAGGATTCCGTTTACGTTTGAGTTTAAGTTTAGCTAGTTTGAGAGTTCCTAGCAATTAAAAATTCTTTGATAACGTTTTCACTGGTTTTGGGACATCCATTAATTACGTGAGCTTAGAATGGGGGGGGGGTCCAATGAAATCTCACCAAATCTCATCTAAGCCAAGGGGGGGATAATCAAAAATCTCACCTCAACTTCAAAAAATATAAAATATTACAGACATTAAAAAAAAAATTATTTTGAGTGTTTATTTTGCCCGCTAAAATAAATTTTATGTCTATTAAAATCATTTACGCTGATGATTTAAACAAGCTCTTCTCAGAGCTAATGGTGGATTTCTTTAACATTATAATTATAATATAAATTATAATATGTATGTATAAAAAAAGTACATGAGATAAATACTAAAGTCAAGTTCGAAGATGAGCTTAATCGGTCAAGTAATTTAGAAATACCAGGATTTCAAAATTCTGAAAATCATAAAAATTCGTATTTTTTCACTTTCTTACTCGAATAACTTTTGAATGGGATAACTTATTGAAATTCTGTAAAATGCATCTGAAAGCTCTTTAAATAAGCTTTAATTTGAGTACCACATCATATGTGTAGTATTAAAATTATGTCCTATTCCGCTATGACAATTATGAAATTTTTAGTAGATTTCATAGAAAATTAGTTGTCTGTAAAATCAATTTACGGACGATAGTTTTACGTGATAACGTAATAAAGAAACATCGATGAAAAATTACATACTTTTATAATTTAAATTGAATTATTATCACTGAATTATTATTATTATTATTATTTTGTATTTAAAAATTTAAAAATTTAATAATAATTATTTTATTAAAATGAAATCTACTTCCATTTCGGCTGCCGAATGGTCTTTTTTTTGTCTAGAAACGTCCTTAAGGTAATTGTCATGGAACAATATTGTCAAAAAATTAGAGATTATGCGCGTCGTAAAAGTATATGAGCTTGTAATCCATAATTTTTACGCAAGACTACCCGTGCAGACGCAAACCATACAATTGTTTCTGTCCGACGCTGTAGGTATATACTTTTTCTTAAATTGTTGAACTTTAATCCGTTATTTATAAATAATTAGACGGTCAAAATTTTTTTTTAAACTCACAATAAATGTATTAAAAGGCTGTCAGTTTTTTTAAAGTTTCTGATCGTTAGTTTATAACTGGTACAGAACTGCAGAGAGCGTATACAATCAATGTTAAATGTCCAATTTTTAATTGAATTCATCTCGGGTTATAGGTGGTCAATCGACTTCAAATTTTGAGGGCAATTGTATCATCATCTCCTTAATAAGTATACAAAAATTTAGAATTTTCTGACGGTATGCTTTAACCACGACAATTACCTTAAAAGAAATTTTTTTGATCAAGAAAAATTATTTTGAAGAGAAGCGGTTGTCTTGATTCAAGAATTTCTCGTCTTGAATGTCGTTTTCTTGGCTGGAGAAATTCTATATCTAAAGATCAGGAGTATATTTTCTTTGTGAGATACTATCAAATCCGACGTAGAAGAAACTTTTTTTTTTTACTTACCAATAATTTCGTTTTTTTTAATTCATATTGTTGATTCAGGAAAAAAACTTCTTCATTTAAAATATAAAAAAAAGACTATTTTTACTTATTCTGAAACATATTTGAGACTTATTTTAAATGACGTAGAAAATGAGACTAATCAGAGAATTGTCCGTTATGTAAAAAAAATTTTCTGCTATGTCCTAATTCGGTCACAGACAATGTTTGACCATAAAAAAAATAATTTATTGTAATTATTTATTTTTTAAAGAAATGTGAACGCTAGAGAACATGCTTTATTAAACAAAAACTGGCTTAGTAGTTGATTAAAGTGAAAACTAATGTTAGACAAACTTCTTTGAAATGTCAAAAAAAATTATTTTTATTTTATAGCTTCAGAACTCGGACTTAAATTTTTTGGAAGGAGACGATTAAACGATCATGCTCCCTGTCAAAGATTTTCCATACTAACTCAATTCTACCGTATTAATCTTCGTATGCACATATTATGTTAGGACATATAAAGGTAAAATTCTTGAATGATCAATTTTATCGTTTTACCCTTTTTTTTTGTTTTAATTTTCTTGATGCTCAATGGAGCTCACTCGTAAATGCAAAATTTTAAGAAGTTTTTGAGATTTGAAATATGGGTAATAGAATACGCATTA